CCTTTTTTTGATTTACGGTATTTTATTTTGATGTTTTGTGTTTAGATCAATATGTACTAATTTTTAAAGTATCAAATTCAATTTTTGTTCAATAAAAACATTTCAAATGCGACTGTAGTTTTTTTTTCCCAAAACTTTGTCTTCAAAATAAGGGTGCGTTTTATATTCCGAAAAATACGGTAACGGTGTACTTGGGATTGCAAAAACAAGCTCTGAATATGCTACTGCCCGTTACAATCATCCAATAAACACATCGGTTTTGTTAAGATTCATACTAAGATTAAGTCCCGCTATTAACTTCCGTTATTCCCTTGATTTTTTAAACTTTCACCACACATGTATACATTGACTGGAGTTCATATGATCCTTCCGTATTTACTTAACAGTATATCCTATTACTGAACGGATAAAGCAAACGTCATTATCGGCATGAAATATGTACATACTATAGAGGGTTTGGTTCTTACACAGAGTTTAACAAAATCTAAATTTTCCTTATGAACAAAAGGTAAAAATCTGAAAATTATGATAAAACGAGCTTCAAAAAATATGCTACCCATTAATTATATGTTTTCAATAATCATTACGTTTTTATTTTGATATTTATTACTGGAGGAAAAAGAACCATACTTTATCCATCCATACATACATACACACACACACACATTTAACAGAGAAGACATAAAAGTTTACTAGACCAGTTGAAGTAAAAACATAAATAAATAACTTTTATTGTACACATGAATCATCACATAAACATCTGAATGTATATTTATAAATAACAAGAAACAACAATTCAGAATAAAAATATTTTTTACCGTAATCTTCTGTTTGCTCTGTATTCCTACTATCGGTCAGGGCCGTTTGGGAACTGAGCTCTCCTTCATTTTCTAAGTGATTCATTACCTTTTACCGATCAGTCCTGTTCTAATACACTAGAACTGGACGAAAGTAATAATCGGAGTAGCGGTATACTGTCAAGCCGTTAGCTGCGCTTATAGTTATACAATGTAAAATGTGTGCTACAAGATGAATTGATGTACGGGTGTTCTAGAGAAAACACCTGTTCACTTCTTTTACACTATACACGTCAAGACTAGAGCTATCATAAGAAATATACAGAATGCTGTTCCTCAGAAAGAAAAAAAAGGACAATTAACCGCAATTATTTATTTAAAAACAGTTTGTTTGTTTTTTACTCTAGTAGAATACAGTTTTTGAAAATATACATTGCCACCGATTTTTGAAGGAAGGTCCCCTTAAAATAATATTTAAGATCTGTTTGTTGTTAAGCGTAAAGCTACAGAATTTGTATTGTTATAAGTCCACAGACTTACCATTGAGCCACTGAGGGGAAGCAATTAAGCTTTATATTATTAATGAATTCATAGGCACAAAGTGTTCTGTGCGACATTTAAAGTGTTTATGTATTTTCCATACACTGCCGTTGCACATGTATGTCACTTCACTCACGTGCTAATCTACGACTCGGAGGAAGTAGCGCACACAGTTACCTATCACCACTACAACATTAGTCTAGCGGATCTAAAATGTAGAAGAGCACGTGTAGCGATTTTTAGACGTAGTATGTGAAAGGATGTTTAATGACACGTCGTAGATGGATTGAAAGAGACACAAAATGGTGTGTATACAAGCAAACAATGAAACTTTATTTACAAGTAATCAATGAAACAACGGCTGATCGTTTTAGTACTGGCAACAAACACTGTCGAAGTTAAACGAAACAAAATTAGTTGAAACTGAAAGAAAATATCCGTATAAACTACAGTTTACTAGAAACAAACCGTATTCTAAACTGAAGTCAGGCACTGTTAGTTATATAGAAATTAAAAACATGTTGGGTTGGCAACTTAACGTTTTAAGGAAAATAACACAGATAAAGACGAAACTTCGTAACACGTCACGACTCTTCGTAGTGTAAACGAGATCTGTGTACAAACGCTAAAAATGTTCGCACAGTCACATAATCTCTATCATTAAAATCCGAATGTAACTTTGCGTCATGTAAAAGTCGTAAAGCGATCTTACACTACGAGTGTTATCAATAACCCCCCCCCCCAAGAAACAACAAATAACCCCAACCTAATCATATAACAGGAAGTAAAACCTAACGCTGTATTAACGTATTGATTTAGCAAATTCCAAACAAGACCTTTACATGTTAAAACACCAATTTTGTTCACAAATTCAGTATGTATGATTGAGGAACGAGATATTTGGTATCTGCACGACACAGGTCCATAGCAAGAACATATGCGAAGATGGCACTAGTCCTTTGCGTCGTAAAACTCCAAAAAGATATTACGATTAAATATGGCTTTAAAGATATTACGATTAAATAAAAGAAAGCTTGCAAATATCGATTTTCCAAGCAGAAATTTTATTTTAAATATATTAGATAAATATCAATAGTACATATGAAATAGACTTGATATTACCATTTTAAAGCGTTCGCTATAAAGTGATTTGGAAGGTAAAACGAGTAATCACACACACCCTTTATCGCTATTATGTGTGTGAATGGGTGTTATTTCTTTACATTCACTAGGCTATCATTTGTACGTTACAGTTATCCACAGATAATCGTGAATAATTCTTATATAATCATCTTATAAGTTCTTGGAAAGCTAAATTTCACGTTAAAACCTTGTAGGTTAATTATCCTCACATTGTCACGACCTTATGCAACGCTGAGAAATATATTTTGGGATATTCCCTTTACAGCGTTTTGGTCATTAACTGTTCTGGCATAGAATAGGAAAACATAAGCGACAAGTACTGGAGAATTGGGATATTGAAACTGTTCTTCACTTGTGCCCGTGGATTTCAGCTGTTGTTTCATCATAGACAAATACATGTGACATTTTACGTAACTACATATAACAAGCTCAGATTAATACTAAATATTTGCCGACTTAGATAAATTCATTAAATTACTAAAGTTTTATATATGCTTTACTATTTGTACATTATTAAAACTAGTTAAAGAAAGTCTTACAAGTTCTCTACTCTTATCATAAAGTCTAGCTTATCGAGGATACTAGCTTAATGTTCGTCAGTTCTTTTGAATAATGAGAAGATTAATTATTAATATGTTTGTTTGTTTGAAGTTAAGCACAAAGTTCTGCCCATCACAGGTATCAAAACCCGGTCTCTTGCGTTGTAAGTCCGCAGACTTAGCGCTGTGCCACTGGGAAGCAATTCTTTTTATTAATAAAACAAATAAGTAATATACTATTAAAAATTCCTTACCTAAGTTACGATATGCTGTGATATAAATAATACTGATAAAAATTACACTTCATCAATTTAAACAAGCTTGCACTGTAACGGCTGTTTGTCAATTTGCTCTTGTAAATAGCGTCTCAATGATAAGTCGCTGGCTGACACGTGTTTAAAGCTTAGATTGCTTCTCCGTCATAATATTGTTGTGGGTCATGTTTTAGTATTTTAATTTATATTTTATACAGATGTTTTGTTTACCAAAGGAAGTTTAGCATCACATACTTATGAGTTATGACGTCTAGAAGTTTCCTGAATGTCTGAATCTCATCATACGTGTAAAATTTTCAGGTTTGGGGAAACTATTGTGATACCTAAAGACACGAGTTAGTTAATTAGTGAATTATGATTCAGTCAGTGGATTTATTAATTAGTTAGTGAATCTTGCCGTGTTATAATCGATTACTCGGTATTTTAGTCAGCCACTTTTGACTTGTCCTTCATGTACGCTCATTCCATCTACTGTTTTGTGGGTCATTTCTATCTAGAATATGATGATCTTCCCACAGAAGCTCAGTTCTCTGGTTGCACAAGCAAAACTGACTGCTAACTTCTGCAGTGCATCCATTCGCAGAATTTATATGCCAGAACCGAGGTTAGCAATAACTTCCTTTGCCATGTGGCTCACAATATCTAGATGTAGTCAGAGATATGCTTTTCCAATCACATATAGCTTGATAGCATTTGCAATAATGAATTCATTATTAATTGCAGAGTGTTGGCTTTACTCGGAGTGCCTGATACTTGACAAAACTGTCAGGGTCCTGGTTATACCCTTGTGAACCAGGAACTTTATCTCTCGCCTGTGCATCTTGATAAGGATGTACCAAAATTCACCCAGCCATGCCAGAGCCAGGCTGACCATCATACCCTACAGCACAAGCTGTCTACTGCTCCTCTTCAACTCAGGTTCCATTATTTTTCTGGAGTGGAAATAAAAGCAATAGTGCAGTTGGGTAAAACTGCCTCTTCCACCTATTTTGCTGCATGGCAAGGTTCTGCTACCTATACTCGAAATATGTACTTTGTTCCTCTCTTCCCAAGTGACATCCATTTGGGGAAATCTTCAGTACAAGCATCATGAGAGGACCAGGGTAGCCCTGCAAATTCATTGGGTACTAGGTGTTGCTGTGTTGCAATGTCAAGACGTGTTAGCAGCTTAGATTTCCTATATGAGACCCGAACTTGACCAACATCACTCACTTGTACAGAATAGTCTGGGCTATGGACAGACATGGCAGCTGCCTTTCCCCTTCTTCAAACTTATTCAAAGTAATCAGCGAAGGTGCGAATATCTCTTATTCTCAAGTATTGTGTATAAGATTGTTCAGTAGTCCCTCTACACACTTGTCCACGGGAATGTTTTCATGTTTTGCAGTGACTATTGGCAGGTCATCTGTGTATACACTCGCGCTCTCAGAGTTGCTCAATGAATATCTGAGTTTCCCCTAGATCAAAGTCTTGGTATAGCTCAATAGTAACCATATCCCAGTCCAGAAACTGTAACTTTCTCAGATGTTTGACAGCATCAATGGCTCGCAGGTTCAGACTCAAAGTACAGCATTGGCATCATCTGCTCCACAGTCCATCAGTTCCAAGCACTGACCAGCTTGAAATTGTGTGATGAAATGGTCCGAGTCCTCTTTCACCTTTTCCTTGAAAGTCAGAGGTGAGAACTACTTGCCTTTCCTCCAGATGCCTGTGATCTCAGCTTAAGCCTCTCAATCTTAGACATATGGTTTGTACCTGGCATAGCAGTACTTAATGCCATTGGCATGGCAAGGCAGGCTGGTACAGGAATCCATGCACTCAGATGAGTGCTAGACCCCTGCTCCTAAGACATGTAACATCGGGGTACCTGTGTTACATCACTAAATTGTTCACGGCAACTCTGGGCTCCTTCAATGCCCATGTTTACCCAGAGAGTAGGCCTCCCCATCTAGGAGAGGCTCAAAGCTGTACCACAGATCATCATCTTCACCAGTTTGACTTTGACATTTTGCTCAATTGCAAAACAGTTACTGTTGGTGAACATCATTCACCAGTGGCATCTCTAGTCTCTCCTGGTTGAATGGTGGTATTGACTAGAGCCAGAGTAGCTCACCTCTGTCTGGGGGTCCTATTAATACTTCCTCATTAGGTTTCAGACTCACCAAGTCACCTTCTACCATAATAATCCTCATTTGACTGCAACTCAATGGTGCTGAAGTTGAACTTCAGAGCAGAACTTCAATCGTTAACAAAAAGACTTCACTGCAGTAAACATACGTTTAATGAAAGCCAATAAAAGAGTAAACATAAAACGAACCACAAAATTACGTAAAACTAAAACTAAGAAATACTAG